AGCTGGTCCTGGTTTGGCTTTGGCATGTCCAGGAGGCTCTGCATGTTTTCCAGGACAATGCGCGTGGTGTTCATAGTGCTCATAATTGCCGCGGTGATCTGAGCGGGCTCCATGATCCCAGTGCTGGCTATGGCGTCTGGTCTGAAAAAAGGCGCGAAAGTAGTATCTGACGGACCAGGGGAAGAAGGGAGGGAGGGAGAGAGGGAGGGAGGGAGGGGCGAGTGACGACATGGCGTACAGGTACAGGGAATTAAAATCAAGAAAGGTGGCTTTGCATCAGGGAGAAACACAAACAACTGTCACACAGAATGGCCCCCCCCCAAAGATTGAACTCAAAAGCCTGGGTTTAGCAGGAGGGAGGGGGGAAGCAAATGAATGCAGAATAAATCTATTTTTTACATCTTAAGACGACGGTGCAGCATGACTGATAGCCCTTTGCATTTTCTGGGTGCTTGGCAGCAAATACTGGGCGCTTGGCAGTAAGCCTTCAGGTCTATTGCACGATCTGATGCCCACTGCAGTATGACAACGATGGATACCAGTCGTAATATGCTATCTACTGCCCAAAAGGCAAGGGGTTGCTGCTATGTAGCAATCTAGCCCCATCCTACGCATAGTACATCTGATAACCATCATCATCAAGGCAAGGGGGCTGGTGCAATGCAGCCCCACGGCTGCCAGCCCCATGTCTGCCAGCACCCAGATAGCCCTCGGCCTCTTCTGGGTGCTTAGCAGACAATATTGGGCACTTGGCAGAAAATAGCATACTACGACTGATAACCATCATTGTCTGCCCGTGTGCCCATGATCGACAGCCACTGCAGTACGATGACGACGGTTACCAGTCATAATAAACCATCTTCTACCAAAAGGCAAGGGGCTGGTGCAATGCAGCCCTACGGCTGCCAGCCCCACAGCTGCCAGCACCCAGATCGCCAATGAAGGCTACCAGTCATGCTGCACCGTCTACCGCCAAAAGGCAGTAAGCTGCTGCTGCTGTTTAGCAATGCAGTCCCACGTTTGCCGGCACCCGGAAGAGATATGGTGACGGTGAGCTGAGCTGAGCGGGCTCAATGCTTGGCGTGGTATGTTGTCTGCACAGGTAACCCAGGTAAAAAGGCGCGAATCTATTGTCTGCCGTTGCTGTGACGGCGGGGGAGGGGCCTGACGCAATGTACCCAGAACCCCTCGCGGCACTGCTTTGCATCATCCGGGCATTGCGATCTCAACCCATAATTCCAATGGGCGCCGGAGACTCCGGGAACTGTGGGATAGGTACCATAGTGCAATGCGCCGGAAGTCGACGCTAGCCTCGGTACTGTGGACGCGGTCCGCCGACTTCATGCACTTAGAGCATTTTAGGTGGGGACACACACAATCGGCTGCATACAACCGGTTTCTATAAAACCGGCTTCTATAAATCCGACCTAATTTTGTAGTGTAGACATAGCCTTAGACACAATTCTTCCCAGGTTATACTGCATGTCCAGGCTGAACATCCAGCAGGCAAAACTAACGTGCTCTGCGCCCTACCTTTTTGTGAGCAGAAAAATTTTACTCTGCCCCCCAGCAAGCTTGATAATTATTCCCTTTGGAGCTGTGTTGTAGGGAAAGAGGAGCTGAGAGGTGGCCATGAAATACAACATTTTGATCCACTGTGCAATGAGATGAGAACTCTGTGTCCATCCTCATGGGAAGGAAACTCAAGGGGAGGGTGAAATAGACTCCTCGCTCTGGTGTCTAGTTACTCATTGTTCGTATTAAGGTAACACCTTAAAGGCCCAGCCAAGATCGGGGCCCAGTTGTGGTCGGTGCTGTATGTACACATAAGATACGTCGACACTTATGGTGGCATGTGGTGCACAGACACTGCACACCCAGCTAGCATGGGTATAAATAACAGTGTAGATTGTGAAGCATAGCTTACATGGGTAGAGTGCCCTACATGCCTGAACCCCCAGAGCATGTACCCTACACGGCTGACTCTATGCCCAAGCAGTGCCTGCCACGGAAAAGGCTCCGGTTGCCGGGAGACAGCGGGGAAAGGCTCTGGTTGCAGGGAGACAGCAGGGACCAGCCAGAGTTTTTCCTTGCTGTGTCCCCCTTCTGGAGCCTCTCACTAGAGCATGTAGCTGCCCATATGGTACTGTATTCTATATGCCACCATTAGTGTAGACAAGAGTTGTAGTGAGAGATTAGACCAAGCCCCAAAAAGCTCAGACTAAACCGACAACAGGCATAGGGTGGGTGGCAGGGACTGTTATCCCCATTTTATGGGTGGGGACTGAGGTGCAGACACCCTGAGCTTCAAATTTTCAAAAGTGCCTATGTGATTTGGGAGCCTGTCTCATAGGAAGTCAATAGGGTTTAGGCTCTAAGTGCCTAAGTCACTTTTAAAAATGATTCTGAAGTGCTTTTGAAAATTTCACCCTTGAAGTGACTTAGGCCCCTCAGTACTATTGTCAAGTGACTTAGGAGCATAATTCCCATCGGCTTCCTATGAGACTTGGGCTCCTAAGTCACATAGGTCCTTCTGAAAACTTCACCTTCAGTGATTTGCCCAAGGTTTTCCAGGAGGGAATCCGTTTCCTACTCTGCCACAGAACCCAGCCCTGCATCCCAGTCCAGTGCTGTAACCGCCAGCTCATCGAGACGCTCACTTGTCTCATCCCTGCCCTGGCAGCCTGCCCCACATGGTATTCAACTCTCCCCAGTGAAAGTCGCTGAGTTTATTGCTCCTTGGCAGCTGCTTCCATCCCAGAACAATTGTATACCTACTGCCTGCAGCTGTCTCTGTGTAGCCCTAGGAACCCCTTTGCCACATCCCAATGCTTGCCAATTAACTTTGTATCCAGTTACCTTGCTGCAGTGATTCTTGTACCTGTCTCTTCATGGGCCTCTCTCTTGCCTCCTTTGTTCCCAGGATAGCTAAAGGTTGCTTGCTGCCCCCAAGATGGGGTACCTTGTTTCTGTGGGTATGTCTACACAGCGAAGAACCCACGGCTGGCCCGTGCCAGCCCACCTGGCTTGTGGGGCTCAGGCTAAGGGGTTGTTTCATTGCTGTATAGATTTCCAGGCTCGGGCTGGAACCCGAGCACAGGGACCCTGCAGGATGGGAAGGTCTGGCAGAGCATGCTGCCATCCATTAGCACTGTCCCTGCCACTCCAGGTCTCTGCTCTGTGTTGCCCTTTCTCCCGCACTCGCTAGCTGTATTTCTTCCCCTCACCACCTCCACTGGATGGGGAACATGGAGCGTGGTCTTCCCTCCCTAAGAAGTTATCCTTGGGGATCCCCTCATGCTTTGCCTCCCTCTGAAGGCTACACAGGAACCTCTTGGCAGTCCTATAGTGCCATTCTTTAACGGGCAGCGTTTAGAGTGCAGTAGCATCTAGAGGCTCCAGTCAGAGATCAGGACTTCACTGTGCTAGGTGCTGTACAAGCCCACAGCAAAAAGGCAGTTCCTGCTCTCAGGAGCTTGCCATTGAAGCAGTAGAATCTTTGTCCCCAGGCCCAGCGGTCTGTGCATCACTCTGATCAAAGGCCCTGGCAGTCACCCTGCCTCATTGCAGCTTTTCAAATAAAAACAAAGCTTGTTAACAACTGGTAGGAAGAAGAGAGAATCCCAGGCCCTGTCTGTGCAGACGGGGCTGGTTTTGCACCAATGTAGCCGTGACAGTGCAAATCCCCAGGTGTACCACATTGGTGTGAAAAGGGGCTCACACTAGTGTGATTGCTGCTTTTGTTAACCAGTCCAAGCCCTGTTTTATACCAATGAAATGCATCTACACTGTGGGGGCAGGGGAGTAGTACCACTGTAACTACCTCTGTAGACGCTAATCTATATACTGTTTTTAAAAAATAATAATAATTCCACCCCTAACTGACATAGCGTGTAGACCGTGCTAGGCAGAACACAGACTGCAGCGTTGCAGCTCATACACAGCAAAAAGTTCTCTGAGTTAGCTTGTGTGTCTCTGTCCTGATGAGAGTGGATGTCTTCAAACCCAGGAAATTCCTATGCTGGAGTGTGGGAGGGAAGATCCCCTTTTGACTGCATAGTAAATCCCAGGGTCCTTTTGTTTCCCCATTGTTCCAAGTAGTCTAGTGACTCATGTCCTCTTCCACTGCCTCTCTGGGGCTGCATCTGTCCCATCAGGTATGGCCAATAAGCAGCATCTCTCTGATGGCTCCCTTTCAGTCCAGCATCCTTTGTTTCCCCCTACCGACTCTTCCAGGAATGCTCACTAGGCATCGTGCCCCCAAACCACCCCAGTGAGCTTCTCTGTAGAAAGATGACAAAGGTTTGGAAGTCTAATACAAAATGGTAAATCTGCTATCCGGATGGGGTGTTTGTCCGTCTGCTGGAGACCCCAGGATCAGTATGGTGGGGCTGTCTTCCCCAAGCAGTGTGTGCCTGCCATTGCACTGCTGCTGTGGGTAAGAGCCCAGAATGCACTTGGGGCCTCAGAGCAGCCAGTATAGTTTTGTCTAGTTGTCTCTTTCCCTACCCTCAAACCCCATTGCAAAATAAAAAATGTCTTCCAAAGGACCTACCCCCCCCCCCCTCTTGCTAAGAGTGAACAGGAGGCTGTTTCATCTGCCTCTGAGGGCGTTAGTCCACCCAAGTGGGTTTCTTTGGGTGCTACCCTAAGGAACCCTGCTTCATTAGCATCTGTCATCTCAGGATCTGAACACACATCCTAATGGTTAACGAGTTAAGCCTCAATCACCCCCCCGCCAGGTACATATCCATCTGTGAAATGAGGAGGATAAACTGAGGCAGGAAGAGGGGTCAGTTGAGTTGCCCAAGGTCATTCTGTTGAGCTGGGAATAGAACCCAGTAGTCCTGACTGCCAAACACTTTGCTCTGTTCCACTTCAGTGCCTTCCCCCGCCCTGTGCTCCTTTGTAAAAACTCTGCATAATTTATAACGTACCCTACTTTATGGAAGCATGCACACTTGTTTCTTACACTAATTTTGTCCTTCTGTCTTTTACAGTTGGGAGCCGAAGGATCTAAGCTGGCAGGACCATCTCCACAGAATGCGCTCTTCACCAAAGAGCGGGCCGAAGCAGGCGAAGATGAGAATCCCAGCGGGACCTTCAAAAGCACTAACATTGCAGTAGCCCGGCGCCTGTGGGTGGCAGTGACCCCCCCAGTCCCCTCCCCTCCATCTCAGACCGTGATGGTGTATTGACCGAGAAGAGCCCTGCTTTTTTTTATTTTTCCTTCCCCTCCCTCCCCCCTCGAGTTTCGGTGGCTTTGGGATTTGTATGGCAGCGGCGTAACCGTGGAGAGGCCGGGGTATCACAAACTTATGGATTTTGATAAGAGAGGAGGGAAAGGGGAGACAGAGGAAGGCAAAAGAATGTCCAAGGCAGGTGGAGGAAGGAGCAGCCATGGGAGCCGGAGCGCAGGGACTAACTCTGGAGTCTTAATGGTGGGCCCCAACTTCCGTGTCGGGAAGAAGATTGGATGTGGCAATTTCGGGGAGCTCCGTCTAGGTGAGATGGGCCTATTTTATTGACATCCTTGCTGTGACTGCGCACTGTGGTGCTGCTGTGAAATCCATCCAGCTCTTCCCACGTCCCTTTCCCCCACTGGGAACGCTCAGGGGCGATCCATATAGGTGTCTTTCTCCTTTATGAGAGTAACAGGAGGGAACCATGCCCCATCCTCCTGCCATAGATCTTTACAGGGATCTGTGTCAAGCTGCATTAAGGCTGCAGGCCCAGAAAATTGGCTCTTTTATGCAAATAAGGCAATGCCCTTATTTGCATTTCACAAATATGTATTGCCTCATTTGCATACAATCTCTCTCCCAGAAATACCCCCTTTCTCCCTGGTGCCTTCTCTGCAGTGTCCTTGCACTGGACTCCCTGAACACAGGAGCCCCGCCTGGAAGGTGTGAGTTAAAATGTTTCCAAGCCCATCCTAAAGCAGGAGGGCTGATGGTCAGAGAGGGGTTTCTGATCACCCTCTTTGACATCACTAGGGAAGAACTGATAATGAAATTGATCCTTTTAGTCCCAGCGTTTTCAGTCTTTGTGGCAATGTCAGTTTGAATGGGTTTCACAAGGTATCTACAAAGAGGCATTTGTATTAGGGAAGTTCTGTGGCCTGTGTTATACAGGAGGTCAGACTGGATGACCACCGTGGTCCCGTCTGGCTTTGGAATCTGTGAATCTATATCATGTGCTCCACTAAACTCCAGCAAATGTCTGTTCCTCATGGGTTGCAGCGTACGGCTTCTCCTTTCTTCTCCGCCTGGGAAGAACAGTGTGGACAGGAGTCTCTTGACCACCAGGCGGCTTCCTATAAGTAAGGGCAGACCCTTGAAGGGAGAAGATCAGAGGGAGAATGGAGTTGGGGGCAGGCTGTGTTAGAGAGCATCTGCTAACAGCACCTGGGAAAAGGGTGGGAATGAATATTTGCTGTTGGACAGAACATACAGCTGCAGTAGCCAAAAGTGTTTAGCTCTCAGTAGAGATGGTTGGAAAACAGTATTTTCTGAGAGAGATTTTGAAAAATATTTTTTTTAAATATCCTTGGGCGCTTTCCTTTTTTTTATTTTTTTTTGCCCAAAAAATCAGGAAACTTTGAACAAAGCAAAATTTTTTGACGGTGGGGAGGACGGGGAGAGGGCCATTTGCTTGTCAAAAAAACAAAAAAAGCTCACCGGCCGGTTTTCGCCAAGCTGTAACTCTTGGCTTGGCGTTCTCTGCACTGGTGTCCTGCGGTTGTGAAAAGCCCTTTGCAGTCTTCTGTTGCTCTACAGTGCCTCTAGGAATGTGAATTGGACTTCAGTGTGTTGAACTAGTATTTGCCAGGCAAAGATTTTGGCCCAGGCGGAGAATATTTGGAAAATTAACTGCGTTCGAGGGAGAATTGATGTAGCTCATTCCCAAGAGATAGTTGGCAGTTTCAGGGACTCCAGTGGTGCCTGTTACCCCAACCTGTATCTCTTCAGACTGAACCTAAAGCTAGATGTGGGCTTCGCTTCACACCATCTGCCTGGGAGAAGAACCAGCAAGCGGGATGATGTCTGAAGTTGTGCAGCCTGTGAGGCAGTATGGCTGGAGGGAGGGACAGAGCATGCCCACCTCCCTGCGTTCAACAGGCTGACTTTGGCTGCGTTGAGTTAATGCTAGCTCTGCCTAGCGCAACAGACTTGGTGGTGCCTGGCAAACCAGCCTGCTCCCAAACTCCCTGATGTGATCGCAGCTTAATTGCAAAGCTTGGGAAAAGGCTGTGTTTAAAACCAAGCCAAGTGGTTCCTGCCTTCGGGGAAGTGGGAAGTCTGTCTCCCTGAATCTTGGGGAGCAGCTCAGATCCCTCCTCCCAAAATCAGACTAGCCGTGGAAGGCTACATGCAGCAACTTACAGTGTCATGAGGGAACAGGGAGGGTCACAGCCAAACCCTGCAAGGCATTCCCTCACCTGCTGCTCCCAGTGCAGGGAGTGAAACAGTCCCAGTGTAGGGAGCTACCCCAGCCCTGCAGCTGCTGCATTGAATGCAATCCGGGGCTGAGATGAAGTGAGAAATCTGACTGCTGAAGATCCCCAGCTGTGGAGAAATCCTGCCAACTCCCCCTCCTGCTGGCCTGATATTCTCCACCTGGAACATCGCTTGGCTGGTAGAAATTCCTGCAGTAACATGTACTGCCCTGCCAGGTTGTGATTTCTGGACTTGCTGGTATGTCAGCCTTCAGCCAGTATATGTGTGATAAATGGGAAGCCTCCCACTCCAACCCACAAACCACCTCAGCCTGCTGGGAGTGAGAAGAACTGACTCTTTTGGATTTCCCCTCTACCCACCTCCCAGCCAAATGATTGCTGCGAGGCCTGGGGTTGATTTGTATGGGACTGGCTCTGCAGCTGTTCCCCTCCTGCAGTCTGTTGCAATTGAGGAGGGGTCTCCACTCTGCTTTCTCTCAACCCTCTGGCTGCTCCAGTGTATGTCTTTGCTGTTGTGCCCCTTCCCCAGCCTCTCTTTCTTTAGGATCACGTCCCCAATAAATAGCTTCAATTCCTGCATCTGCTGCCCATCAGAGACTTCTCAAGCTGCTGCAGAAAGAAATTGACCAGATTTGTCAGTTTCACAGCTGCTTACAAGGCTCTGAATAGCAGCAGTATAAATGGGTAAAGCCATGGTCTGCATTCACTTTGCTACATATTGGCAAGGTCTGAGCAGCAGTAGAGGCCCAAGACAGGCTGCTTGCAGAATCAGGAAGGTGGCACTGCATTGGTTCCTATGTGCATGGTTATGCTTGAAACCATGAGGGCTAGAAAAGGAACTTTTCTTCTTCCACTGGAATTTGGGATTCTGCAGAGGTTAATGGTGCTTGTTGGGATTGATTTCTACTTGCCATTGACGTTCAAGTCCCTGCATGCAGTTATTCTAGAAGGCCCACACATCCAGTAATACACTGATGCTTGTCTGTTAAATGGCATGATGAAACGGGCCATTGGGCTGGATGGGGAGTGTCCCAGTACAGAGGTGTAGGCCAGAGCAATTTGGTCTGCTTGCTCCTAAAATCCAATTTACTTCCTTCTCACATATGCCGTTAACTTATTTCAAGGCTCAAGAACGCTTTCAGGAGCCAAATGAAAGTAGTCACTCATCAAAAATGCAAGCCTTGATCCATGTGCATGCCAGAGCATGTGCAAAGGAACCAAAGTGACACCAAATGACTGGAGAAAACACTGCCTGCTCAGAGAGAAATCAAATAATGCCATCCTCTTTGGGGAGGGTGTGGGGGACAAGGTGGGAGAAGCCAGCAGATAATGGCAGAGATCTTTGATTCAGCCATGGTGGAGGACCTAGGACAGAGACTAATGTAGTCGGTGTCAAATGTAACTGAGAATATCTAGTGCTCTTTGTTTGTGCACACACTAATCCCCGCAGCAGTCCTTGGTAGCAGAGTTGCCAAGATTTGTCCTGGGGGAAATGAAGCACCCAAAGCAGAACTGGTTGCAAAATCCAAAATTAGTTTTGGATTTTAAAAAACAGACTTTTGGACATGTTTCCAGTTTGAAGGGAAACTTCCTTCTTTTGAAAACATTATAGAAACTTTTCATGACCAAAATTAAATTGTCTTGTGTGTTCTCAGAACAGTTTCAGTTTTGGGGGAGGAAAAAACATAGAAAAATGGTCCATTTCAGAAAGGAAAATTTTCCACGCACAACTTCTTGTTTGTAACATTGACCAGCTTTACCACCTGACTTTTAAAAGCTGGTGCTACGTGTTATTTGGGGAGGGGAGGCGCCTTAGATCTTGATTGCCCCATTTGGGGGAGGTGCTGAAAATCAGAAGCCACATCTGAAAATGTTGGCTTAAGGCAGTGTTTCCCAAAGTTGGGACACCGCTTGTGTAGGGAAAGCCCCTGGTGGGCCGGGCCGGTTTGTTTACCTGCCGCGTCCGCAGGTTCGGCTGATCGCGGCTCCCAGTGGCCACGGTTCGCTGCTCCAGGCCAGTGGGAGCCGCTGGAAGCTCCATTGGCCTGGAGCAGCAAACCGCGGCCACTGGGAGCCGTGATCGGCCGAACCTGCGGACGCGACAGGTAAACAAACCGGCCCGGCCCACCACGGGCTTTCTCTGCACAAGCGGCGGAACAAGTTTGGGAAACACTGGCTTAAGGGATATGCTGAAAGCCAGAAGGGGAATGAAAGCCAGACAGCAGGAGTTTCTGGTTCCCAATGTCTCTTATTGTCTAGGGCAGGGGTTTTCAACCTTTTTTTCATCTGCAGACCCCTAAAACATTTTGAATGGGGTTGTGAACCCCTTTGGAAATCTTAAACATAGTCTGTGGACCCAGAGGTTGAAAACCACTGGTCTAGGTATGGTACAGTAACACTTCAAGGCCCCAGTTGAGATCAGGTCCCTTTTGTGTTGTACAGACACATAGGGAGAGAGGCAGTTCCTGCCCCAAAGAACTTACAGGCTATACAGACAGAACTTCTTCACTGGCTTATAACCGTGTACACACTGAAACCAGGACAGCAGGAAAATGAACAGTCCTTCCGCAGAGCCGGGTTTGTGAGACTGACCAAGAAGCTGCCGGGTGCTGCAGTGCCACCAATGTGCTTCCAGTCGCCTTTCTTGGCCCGCCCACAGTGATGTCACCCTGCTGGCCTCGTTTTGGAGGGAAACCGGGGCTTGGGTGGAGAGGAACTGCCTCAAACTGTGTGTGAGCGAGGCTGGTAGAAAAGCAGAGGTCATTTGAGGAACTGATAGGAGCCACAACTTCCTCGTCTCCAGAGGACGTCCGCACTCTTACTGTCCAGGGGTTCAACAATCTCTGGGGCTTGTTCCCAGGTATCCAGCACTGGTATCCTTTGGCTGCCTAGGAGGTTGTGCCCTTTCCTCTTGGATGCAGATCCAGCCATGGTGACTCGCCTGCTCATCCAGGCCAGCCAGCAGCAGTGGCCTTCCCCCTCCACACACCCACACCCACACCCACCACCACCACGGCTCCTCCCCCATCCCACCAGTTTAATTGCT